GTATATCTCTTTAATATGCTTCATGTATTCTGTTTGTTTCTTATTTTGTTCATCCAGGGATTCTATCTTTTTGTTCCTCTAAGTTTTTAACTGTGTCTTCTTTAGATGTGTTCAGCATCTCTTTCATTACTTTTATCTTTTTTTTTTAACCTGGGAGATTATTTCTAGTTTGAATTCCTTTAAAGCTTCCCAGAGTTGTTTCTTCATTTCACTTGCCATTATATCAGGTTTTTCAGGTGTACGGCGTATATTTTCTTCCATGTCCATGGCTCCTGGGCTTTCTTGGGGTGGGCTTTAGTCATTTTCCTATAATTATGTGTTTCAAGTTTTGTTCCAAGGCCCTCCCTGGGCATGTTGGAAATAGTCTCCTATGTCCCCAGCTCCTTAGACTGAATGAATATTTCTGGTCATGGTCCATTCAGGCCCACAGGACCTCACCTGTCACCTCCAGTGTTCCAGGAAGCTAGGCGGGCACCTAACCACTGTGGATGGTGGTCCAAAGTCTCCCCGGGCTAGGAATAATTTGCTGGAACTCACTTCATGTGCTCTCAACTCTTCTGATTGAAGAAGGTCACTGGTTACAATCTAGTAGGACAGCACAACCTCTCTAGCACAGTTAGTGTGACTGGAACCTGGGCAGGTCTTTGACCACTGGGATCTTAAATTCTTCCAGGGCTCAGCATGGTGAGCAGGAACTCACCTACTCCAGCAGCACAGTTCCCTCCTCTGCCCACCCAGTTCCCTGGATTCTGTTTGATGCATTCTAGTTCTTTCCTATCTTGTTCATTCAAAGTTTCATCATTTTCATATGTTCCTCTATTATTTTTTACCTATGTCTTCTTTAGATATGTTAAACATTTCTTTCACTATGTTTGTCATTTCTTTTTTTTTTACTTAGCAGATTATTTCTGATCTAATTTCCTCTACGGCCTCATGGAAGTTTGTTTTTACTTCAGTTGATATCATTTCAGAAATTTCAGTTGTATAATTTCTAGTATCTTTCATTTCTCCTGAGTTTGTTATCAGTTGACTAGAGATCTGAGACTGCATTTTGCTTTTCATTGTTTCATTTTTTTAGGTTGTTCCAGATGAGCTGGTTAAATCTAAGGCACTTCCCTTGCTGAATGACTGTCCTACAGTGTAGAGAGCCTGGGCCAGGACCCTGGGTTCCTCTGAGCCAAGTTTCCTAGGGTGATGGAAAAATGACAGGTGGGGTTTCTGCCATCTCTCAGCTTACCAGGTTTCCTCCCAGACTGAAGAGAGTTTCAGCACAAGCCTCTATTGGACCATTCTCCCTGGGGTGCTCCATGAATGGCACCTGGGCATGATGCTGGGCAAGGCTCAGCTCTTCTAAGTCTCATGAGGTTCACTGGGGTGTTCCCCCAATGGATGACACAGGGGTATTTTGCTAGACTTGTCAGGAGTCAGTTTCTTTGGGAGCTGTGTAGCTATCCAGAGTGCACCACTGATGTATGGTGCTGAGGCCTTAAGCCTGGCTGTGTGGAACTCAGATCCTTAGAGATCAGCACAGCTGGCCAGGGAATTCCCCCAAATTATGTACCATGGTCTTGTGCTGGGTTGGGTGGGACTCATCTCCACCATGTCCTATGAGATTTGCTGGGGTGTTCCCCCAATAGATGATTCTGGGGCCTTGCAGTGGGCTGGGCAGAACTTAGCTTCCCCAAAGTATGGTGATATGACCTTGAGATGAGCTAGGCAGAGCTCAGAACCTCAGAGAGATCCATGTGGTTAGACAGGGCACTCTCTGGATGGGTGGTTCTAGGGCTCTGGGCTGGGTTTGTCTGGGCTTAGCACCTCTAGGACCAATTTGGTTGGTCAGGCATTGTTCCAATGTACTGCACTTGGATGCCAGACTGGGAAGACCTTGGATCCTCCAGGATCCACATGGCTAGTCAGGGTGCACCCCTGAAGTATGGTGCCAGGGCCTTATGCTGGGCTGGGTGGAGCTTGCAACCTTGGGAACCCATGTGATTGCCCATGGTGCATCCCCAAATTATGGTGCTGGGCTGGTTTTTCTTATATGAGATCAATTATGCTATATTTAAGCTTTTGTGTCTGATTTTTTTACTGTCACCAGAATTTGCAACAGATTATTTAGTTTGGTTTTTCATAAAATTGCTCCAATAAATTTTACCAGTTGTATTGTTAATGTGAAATTCATTTTTTTGCTGTTGTTTTTGCTAACATTTTTCCCAGTTCTTATTTGTCAGTGTGATACACAGAATTATAAGATGTTACCAAGTTTTATAACTCCTGGTATACCTACATCTTCTCCAAATTATCCAATCAAATACTGATCTAGTTGTGGGTTGATACTGCGCAGATATAACCAGTTACCTACTCAATCACAGACAGTTTCATGTGGTTTTAATTAATCACAGAGGTCTCCTAAGTTTTTATCGAGTAGTCAGACAGGAAATCAGGAATTGACTTGATCAAAGTTGGAAGAACATATGGAACAGATAAGACATTTAGAAGCTGGCTGTAGCATCATGTTTATTGCAGTATTGCAGACAATAGTCACTACTATAGTTTCGATCTTAAATGGCCCCCTCTGGAAAATGCTGTAAAGCTTAATGTCCATCTCAGCACTAATGAGAGGTGGTAGAAACTACAGTTAGGTCTCCAGACAGGATTTCTGATCATTGAATGGGAGTTCTCAGTGGGCCTCATATGATCATCCTGTGTTTATCTTTCATTTTTTATGTGTTCCAAAGATGACCAGAATGATTCCCTTGCCACATGCTGTGCTATCTTGATGTGGACAAAAGCCATGGAAGCAGCATACTATGAACTGAGACTTCCAAACTGTGAGTGAAATTAAGGCTTTTGTTTTTATCAGTTGCTTTTCTCAGATATTTGGTTTAGTTGCTTATAGCTCCATTTTATTTTTAAGAAAATCTATACTGTTTCCTATAATGTCTGAACCAATTCACCTTCCCATACACACAAAATCCTTTTTTTAAACTATGACTTTCAACAACTTTGATGTATTATGAACAGCATGCAGATATTTATTTCAAATGAACGTCTTATTTTATGAAAGAAAATTTCAGAAACAAAAGGAATCAGGAATTTACCAATGGTAGTTATGTCACTGAAATAACCAATTAACTTACACATTCCACTATCAAAAAAGTTTAACAAAGTTTTATTGTTGTTATGGTGGTGGTGGTAGTGGTTTTACTTTGGTTTGGGTTGTTTTGCTTTTGATTTTTATTGTTGATTTTGTTTTTATTTTACCCTCTTTAGATAGGGTCATAATTCAGGCTGGCCCTGGTTGACCTCGAATGCAAGGTCATCCTCCTGCCTTAGCCTCCAAGGTATGAGTTTACATGTATAAGCTTCTATACCTGATAACAAAGTTTAAATGTTAAAATAATGTATAGCTTAAAGAACTAGTAGACATTGTTAAAAAATAAATTTCAACTGTTAGAAAAAGCATATGATAAGTCTATTTAAATATCATCAGTGTCTGGTTTAAATATGATCTATGGCCTCTTTCTGTGTAATTGTTCTTTCTCTGGGAGTGTAGTATGGACTTTTGATCATAAGTTTGGAAAAACTTTTGTGTTCAAAATGTTTCAAAACTCAAATATGTCAATAGTCTGGAGTGTTACGTCCACTTTTGTAAACAGGCTTACTAACCACAAGATGAACCAGAAGTTCAAGATGTACTTGCCATGTTTTGTTTCCAGTTTGTTCCCATATTTGTAAAGTTTCTCTCACTTACAGAAGACTTCTGCCTACCTTACAAATGGTATAAAAGTAACTTCCTATTCTAGCTCAAGGACCTCCCTGGGACACTTAAATTCCACAAACTGTAATTTCACATTGACCTTTCAGCTCTCCAGGTATCACTTTTCTCTTTCCTCCCCACAGGACTCTGTCTACTGTTACATGGGCTGTGCAACAATAGACACTCAGTCCCTCCACCAAAAGGGATCTACATTTTGTAAGGGCCGATAGAACCACTACATCACCACTGTTCAATGATCACCCTCTGTGATCAGAACCCTGGCATCACCACAGTGCTTCTGCTACCCAATGTCCATCAATGTGGCTAATGTGGTTCAAGTCAAAGAGGGCATCTGTCCCTGGCATTTAACCAAGGTGGTGCCCCAAGTTTTCTTTTCCCAGTGAAGGAGGAACACTTCTGTATCTAGTAGGAGCCATATTTCTAAAGTTCTTGCTCACAAATATTCTTGCCCTACCTGATAAACAGTATATAAAAGTAAGTTCCTGACCTTGGTGCTTAGACTTTGTAATACACAGCTCCTCTGAGTCCAACAGCATAATAAATCTTGATTCCTTCCACTTCTCCGGGTACTGCTTAGTGTCTTTACCTCCAGTAAACTTAAAATTGCTGTAACAATATTAATGAAAACTTTCACTACTAAAGAAGATAAATCTTAATGCTCAATTGCTATTGCCCCATTGGCCAAAGCTAATTATTTAGGTAGTCTAGAGTCAATGGCAAAAGGGAAAATAAAGGTATGAGTACAAGAAGGATGGTTTATTAGGGTCAATACTATGTGTATATGACATAATTTTTATTTAGAAAGTAGAACTACAATACATCTTATACACTTATTATATATAAGGCTACAAGAATACTCTTTTGCATTCATTCATTTATTTTTAAAAAGTAATTATTTAATAATGATTGTAAAATCAAGTGTGATATTGCTTCAGTAGTGAACATCAATGTAAAAAGAATCTAAAATAGGCATCTATTTAAAACATTTATACAGCTCTCATTAGGTTATAAACCTTTATCAGTTTACAGTGAAGAGAAAGACTGGCATTGAGTGCAACATAGTTAATTAATTATCACAATTCTCATAACTCTGAGGTCACAGAGTTCATTATTTTTAAATTAAATCATAACCTTATTTACATATATAGTACAAGATCAAATTAGTTTGTTATTTGTGTATGCATATTAAACATAAAACAATAATGTCACATTCATTGTCTCAGAATTTCAACAATATGGGAAAGACTTTTCTCAGGGCCCCAGTAACATCTTTGTTCCGAAGGCTGTATATCATGGGATTGAACATTGGGGTCAAAATAGTATAGAAGAGAGAAAGCAGTTTGTCTGTACCTTCATATTGATAGGAATTGGAATGGAAATAGGTGATAGTGGCAGATCCATAGAATAAAAGCACAACCATGAGATGGGAGGAACAAGTGGAAAAGGCTTTGGCTCTTCCTGTGTTTGATGGTAACCTCAGGATAGTTGATATTATTCTACTGTAGGATGCAAGAATCAACATAAAGGGCACAACGACAATCAAGAACGCAAATACATAGACTGCCATCTCATTCACAAAGATGATCCCACAGGCTAGCTTGAGCAGTGGGGGGATGTCACAGAAGAAGTGGTTGATATGTTTAGACCCACAGAAGGGCAGTGTGAAAATCTGCACCGTCTGCCCTATCTGGATTGGAAAGCCAATGATCCAGGAGCCGGTGACTAGCTGGATACAGACCTTGTGGTTCATGATAAGTGGATACTGAAGAGGTCTGCAAATGGCCACATAGCGGTCATAGGCCATCACTGCCAGAAGAAAACATTCTGTGGCTCCCAGCACAAGGAAGAAACCCATTTGTGTGGCACAGGCGAAAAAAAGTCCCTTTTTGGGTCCAAAGATCCATAAGCATCCTAGGAAGAGTGACAGACACATAGCAGATTTCTAGGAAAGAAAAATTGCTGAGGAAAAAATACATGGGGGTGTGCAAGGTAGGCTCCAGTCTAGTAATTAGGATGATAACTCCATTCCCCAGTAGGATAATCAAATAGATGAATAAGAATATTCCAAAGAGCAGCCAGTGCAATTTGGGACTATCGGAAAAGCCCACAAGAACAAATTCTATCACTGTAGTGAGATTGGTTTCCATGGTTTTCAATTTGTTTTCTATTTGCATTGTTCTCCTTTGAAAAGCGGGTTAAGATATGAGTTTCAATCTTCATAAAATTTTTAGGTTCTTACTAAACCTTACCTTTTGTGAACCTGAAAGAATTGATGTGGGACAATCAATATTAAAATTATCTGATTAAAAGTAAAATTGCTTTGATGAATAAAATATTTTGAAGATGAACTTATGTTAGATTTACATTCTATTGATAACCATAAATTCATAGTTGTGTATTGTTGTCAGACTTGCAATATCAGGAAAGATAACGCATATAAGCTTTGTCCTCCAGCGAATTCATAAATTCTTTCCCTAGTTTCCTCTCTCTTTCTTAATCTCTAGAATTTGCACAAATTTCTTACTAAACTTCTTTGTCTTTCTAAATATTATTTATCATTTAAGTCTCAAATATTTAATGTTTTTGTAAGCAAGCTTTTTTCTTTTGATTTACAGAAAAAATTTCAATATCTCACATCATATCATTCAAAAAAGACACTTTTTCGACTCATTTGTAGTTGATGTAATAAAGTCCTGTAGCCTATTGCCATATTGTGGGGTTGTCATGTTTCTTCTGTAGCATGTGTCAACCACCCAGTCCAGCCATTCTTTGGCAGTACTTGTCTCACTGCCATGTCTTCCAAGAATGTATCTGATTGTTATTAATCTACATGTTTAAGACACAAACTGGCTTTCACAACTGCTATCAAGGTACATACATTTCTTTTTTGCTTTGACATTATATTACATGATTCATTTTATAAAGAGTATAGACAGGTGTCTGTTCTCCTGTGTTACCCTGCATGCAGTTTTAAATTAAAAGTAGAAGCTGACATTAGAATTGGTTATTTTCCCAACAACAGTACATGTGAAACAGAAGTTTGAAATTCCAATGTCAAATAAATAGTAAAAATGGAAACAAATACTTTAGTTTCCAATGTCAAATTGCTCTACATGCTGAGTATCTTACCAAGTATTTATCTCAACATACAGTCAGAAATAAAAAGTGTCAAACATATAGCTCAGGGATAAGGCACTTATGTAGTTTGCTCAAGTTTCTAGGCTTAATGAAAAAATTAAGACACATGATTGCATTAATTTCACTTGTATTTAAAGAGATCTTACTAATAAAACCATATTTAACATTTGACTCTTCAATGGTAATATTTTGATACTTTTTTCTTTTTAAAGTTCAAAATAAATATTCATATGGAGAAGTCAAAATAGTATGAAAATATTTAGTAAATATAGTCAAATATTAGGTGAAACTTTTGCCTCATTTATAGTGTTATTGATTTGGTTGACCTAAAGAATAACAAGACATGAACCAAGTAAGCTAAATTAAGTGTGGTCTATAAGTTACAGGAGGTGAATATTTGAGAAAAAAAAAAACACTTCAATGTTTTTCCGCTAGAAGGTATTACCAATTTTAACATTACTTTTCGCAGAAATGGTTTCATTTATGTGGAAATGCTTCCTATATTACCAATATACAAAAATATATTAAATTCTTACCATATTTTCAAAATAAAATTGTTTAATCTTATTAAAATTATCAACAATATACAAATTAGAAAGTTATATATTTTAGATACTTGAAATATATTAGTTTAACTTTTTAACTCAGAAATTTGAGAAAACGGCACATATAATCATATATCAAATGAATTTTAAAACCAGTGTATATTTATCATTTGAGATGTTTGATATAATTTTGAATCATTAGTCTCAAAATAATATTTCTAAGAGATACGATACCAACACACAGTTTTAGCAGTTCATTGTTGACCTTTGGATAATGTTACATCCTTATCCTGAAGTTTTGTATTTTTAAATATTTAGAAAGATTAACATTGATATCACCTTTAATCAAGGGGTTTACTTACTTTTGATACAAGCAGTGTTCTTTATAGAGGAAATGTAAGTTTCCAGTGGGGATATCTTTTCCCTTGTCACTTGTTAATTGCAATCTAACTGATGAGTTTTCAATTAATTTGGTGTGTTTTTCAAACAACTCCTTGAAAACCAACTACATCTTCCTGCAATCACTCGTCATGCAATTTTCATTTTTTGAATGGTATACCAGCACATGAAAAATATATTCTCAATTATTCTTTCTTTAGTTTCTTGTCTTATTTTCTATAATTCTCTTGAATTTAACATTTCAAATAATTGTGATTCTTGGAAACATCATAAGAAACATGTAAAGCCTATTTACTTACATTTCCTTTAATTTCTCACATTTTTCTAAATAGATGTTTGTGTTCCTGGGATGAGTGTGAGGAAAACGAATCATGTTCATTTCAAAGAGCAGATAAAGTTGTACCTGTCTGTGATGTGGTGATCTTTTTTGTTTAACAATTTTGAAATAATGTCTTTTAGGGGTATAGTTTCTATTAATTCAAATTGAAATTTGCTGAATATTTTGATCTTTATTTACATAAGAATAAAACTGAGTTTGGAAAAGAATTCAGATATCATGTCCTCATTCTTTGTAGGTACAGGTGAAAAATCGTATCATTATATATTTAAAAATAACAGAGAAGGGAAGGTTGGGTAAATTTTTATTTTGATACTATTAGGTTTTAATAAGAACATGGACAATGTAATTAACTCATGATTTTAGTTTTTCTACTTGTTTTAATACTTAATTGTGTAACTTTGCAAGTCAATATGCTGAACTATTCAGAAATTACAGAATTTGTACATGTGAATTGGTCGCAGAACTGGTGTCCCAAATGAGGTTACTTTTTAGCAACATTCTATGAAAAATAATTATTTCTGCAGAAAACATTAAACATTTGTAATGCATGTTGTTCTATTTTGATAATATAATTTCCATTTAATCCATAATACTTTATTTTATTTTCATTTCAAAATTTAAACTTTTCTCCATTGTGTCTGGGGATTTAGCTCAGTGGCACAAGCCCCCTGACTGGCAAGTGCAAAGTCATGAGTTCAATTCCATGGTGTGAAGTCCTTAAATCTTGCCAATTATTCATAGTATTTGGTGAACACCCACTTCCAGGGTCCAAGCTATGCCTATGGAAAGTTTGTGATTTCTTCAACAAATTATATCCTGGGGCTGGGGATTTAGCTCAGCAGCACAGGCACTTGCCTGGCAAGCACGAGATTATAAATTCAATCCCTGGTACCAAAAAAATTATATATATATATATATATATATATATATATATATATATTAAATCCCCCCAAAACCCTAATGACTTATACTTTTTCTTTCACTGTTAGTGTCAAATGCAGTAAGTAGGTGTACAAATAAAAATAAAACATAATTTACCATGTTTAAGTTTGGAAACAGAGAGACCAGTGAGGGTGTGATTGTGTGGCTAAGGGCAGGACTGAGTAGTGTAAACACTGTAAGAGCAGTCAATGGATTTACACAGAGTTTGTTTCCAAGCATTCTTCTGTTTGTTTCTCAACTTTACCACATAAAAAATCAGTTGCTTAGGAACTCTGACATAGTAATCTGGCTACATTTATCTTTTTAAAAACATCAAATATGTTTTATTAGTGCATATAGATATACCAGTTAATGGATTTTTGTTTTGGAAGATTCACCCAAGTAAATAACAGATCATTCCCAGAACTGTCACAAATCTGGCCCTCCTCTCCACCACCCCTGTTACCATCTTCTGCATTTGTTCAAATCACATAGATCCCATTTTCTAAATATTAACCAATTGAAGAAATATTCTTGTAATATTTGTTCTAATACTGAGACATTTTCTAAAATTTTTTCAGTATTTCACTTATAATGCCATTTACATAAATCTACCTCATCTTAAATATGTATATTTCCTATGATGCATTCTAATCATGCTGGTTTTTCTTCTTATTTCTTTTATTTACTCATGATTGTACTATAATATAATGCTATGGTGCACTATAAGATAATGATGAAGACTGACAATTACTAAACAAATTTAATTCTTTTCAGTTTTTACTTATCTGTATATTGCTGGGATATGTATACAATCATCTTACAGCCTGAATGTCCATGTGAGTTATTTGGTGACAATGAAATGGAAGAGAGAGTAACATGTGAAGATGACATTTTTAGGACACCTTTCCCTAGAATTACACTTCTCCCTTCAACTCCTGGTGCAGCAATGGCCACAGCAGGGAAGGAAAATGCGCTTCCTGTCTCTGAATGATCAATCTATTATGATACAGCACTGACCTGAGTATGCAATTCTTCTCAGATGCAATCAAACCTTAGAATCGTAGAGGATTGCTATTCTTCAGGTGCATTTGATGTGTATAGATCCCTTCATAGTCCTCTTAAGTCAATCGAAAACTTTCCTCACTCTCTTCTTCTACCTTTACATTGAGGACTTGCTGCTACACATATCTGGCCGCACCAGATTGCTGAAACAACAGATGTTACAGCAGACTTGTTTCAAACAGAATCATTTGTTGAAACTTTTTGAACATGACTAAAGAAAAATTCTTCTCTCTCTGTGAATGTAGTTGTGATTTTTTAAACATGTAAATTTTTGACCCTATTTATGTCTATACCATGTGAAAAACAGTACCAGTCAAACATCAAAGACATAAGATAAATTACCCAGATATATACTAATGATCTTGGACAGTAGAAGGTGGTGATGTTCTGTCTTTTCTGAGGCCCTTCTTCCAATTGTTCTCTTGATCTGCACCCCAAACACAGGCATTTGCAGCCTCTGTGGATTAATGAGATAATCATTATTGAGGTTGTATACTCTGCTTTTGATGGAATTGAGATTGACTTATATTTCTGTAATCAGTTCATTAGTTCTCTTTATAGCTAAGTAGTACTTCACTGTATAAAAGTACCACAACTTTTTTATCCATTCCTCAGTTGATGGACACTTAGGTTGTTTCCAAGATGTGGCTATTACAAATTGTGCTGCTGTAAACATGGGTGCACATATATCACTGTGGTTTCAGTTCACTGATGTTTTCAGTTCTTCTGGGAATATGCCCAGAAGTAGAATAGCTGGTTTGAATGG